AGAGAAAAAACAATATTTTGCTTTCAAATAAGCAACAGTTAAACCTATCAACAGAAGCAATCGACACCAGAAAATGATGGAATGATACCCTCAAAGTGCTGAAAGAAAGTAATTGATAATAAGGAAAAATATTTTCCCAGAATAAAAGTAAAATTAAAGTATTTTCAATCAAAGATAGATAGAATTTGTCACCAGCAGACTTGCACTAAAGGAAATACTAACAGAGTCTTCTTTAAATAGAATAAAAATAATGCCAGGTGGTAGGAGAGTTGCAGGAAGGAATGAAAAATAAATAAAATGGTAAGTAAGTGGATAAATCCAAATGAGTATTGATTTTATGAAATAATAGTGTGTGGTTTAAATATAAGAGAATGAAAAATATCTGACAGCAATAAAATATAAATTGAGCTGGAGGGAAAAATGGAGTTAATATTTTCTGAGGTCACTGGATTTTCTGGGAGAGTTAAAAGTATGGTCATATTAGACTCTGCTAAGTAAAAGATAACAGATTATAACTTTGAGGATAACTGTTCGAAGGATAGTGAGAGTATGATGATTACTAAGTTAATAGAGGTAAATGGAATAATAAAAAAGATTAATCAGAGTACATTATGTAAGTTGACGACTGTAAAGTTAAGGATACGTTATTAAAACAGTGCCCAAACAAGATGGCTGAAAAGCTAACAGGAAAGTTCAAATGGAATTCTACCAAATTTAAAATAATAAAAACAGGCAGGAAAGGAGAATAGAAAAAGAAAGAGGTGACAAGTAGACAAAAATAAAATGGTGGACACATCTGCAAGAATACAGATAATTACATTAAATATTAATGGATTCAACACTCCAATTAAAAGGCAGAGAATTTCAGAATTGATGAAAATACAAGGTCTACTTATATGCTGTCTATAAGAGATACAGTTTAAATGTAAAGACACAGCTAGGTTGAAAATAAATGGATTCAAAAAGATATGTCATGTAAACATTAGCATAGGGAGGGTGGACTGGCTATATTAATATCAAATTTCAAAACAAAATATATTACTGGAGACTACCAGGGTACTTTATAATGCTAAAAGGGTCAACTGAACAGGAAGATGCAACAATCATAAATATGTATACATTCAGTAACAGAATTAAAAGGACAGAAGTATTAAAGAATTAAAGGGACAACTCTGGAGATTTTAAAACTCTCAGCAGTTGGCATAACAGCTAAATAAAAAATCAGCAAAGATATAGAACAATATTATCAATCACCATGATGTAATTAATATTTATAGAACAGTACACCTAAAAAAAAAGGAGCCCTGATGGCGCCGTGGTTAAAGAACTTGGCTGCCAACCAAAAAGTCAGCAGTTTGAACCCATCAGGTGGTTCTGTGGGAGAAAGACGTGGCAGTCTGTTTCCATGAAAATTACCACCTTGGAAACCCTATGAGGCAGTTCTACTCTGTCCTATAGGGTTGCTATGAGTCGGAATCAACTAGATGGCAGCGGGTTTAGTTTTTGGTTTACACCCAAAAACAGCAGAATGCACATTCCTTGTAGGTGCATATGGTAGATTTACCAGGATATACCATATACTGTCTTAAAAAACAAATCTTAATAAATTTAGAAAGATTGAAATTATACAGAGTATGTTTTTTGGCCACAGTGAAATTAAGTAGAATTCAGTAGTAATCAGATAACCAGAAAAACTCCAGCTATTAAATTAAGCAGCATACTTCTTAATAATTAGGTCAAAGAAAAAATCTAAAGAATCATTAGAAAATATTTTTAAATGAATGATAATGAAAACAAATCATATAAAAATTTATGGACTGTAGTGAAAGGAGTGCTTAGAGGAGAATTTATAGCCTTAAATACCTATATATAAAAAGAAGAAAGGTCACTAACTTAGATGAAGGGAAAGATAACACACGATATAGGGGAAGGCAATACAACTTGACCAAGACAGAGTCATAGAAGCTTCCTAGACACATCAAACACCTTGAGGGACTGAGTTACTGAGGCTGAGGGCTAGGGATCATGATTCCTTGGGGCATCTAGGTCAATTAGCATAACATAGTTCTTAAAGAAAATGTTCTACATCCTACTTTGGTGAGTAGCTTCTAGAGTCTTAAAAGCTTGCAAGCGGCCATCTAAGATACATCTATTGGTCTCATCATGTTCGGAGCAAAGGAGAATGAATAAAACCAAAGACACAAGGAGAATATTAGTCCAAGGACTAATGGACCACATGAACCACAGCCTCCACCAGCCTGAGCCCAGAAGAACTAGATGGTACCTGGCTACCACCACCGACTGCTCTGACAGGGATCATAATAGAGGGCCCCGGACAGAGCAGGAGAAAAATGTAGAACAAAATTCAAATTCACAAACGAAGACCAGACATACTGGTCTGACAGAGACTGGAGGAACTCCAGAGACTGTGGCCCCCGAATACCCTGCTAACTCAGAACCAAAGCCACTCCCAAAGTCCACCTTTCAGCCAGAGATTACACAGACCTATAAAATAAACAACACACGTGAGGAACGTGTTTCTTGGTTCAATCAAGTATATGAGACCAAATGGGTAACACCTGCCAAAAAGCAAAGATGTGAAGGCAGGAAAGGACAGAAGAACTGGACGAATGGACACAGAGAACCCAGGGTGGATAGGAGGAAGGGGGAGAGTGCTGACACATTGCAGGGATTGCAGCCAGTGTCACAGAACAATTTGTAAATTTTTGAATGAAAAACTAACTTGTGCTGTAAACTTTCACCTAAAACACAATTTAAAAAAAACAAAAACCTCCAACTTAATAATCACTGGGTCAGATAAAAAAATCTACAGAAGCATTGGAAAATATTTTTAAATGAGTGATAATGAAAACAAAATATATAAAAATTTGTGGACTATAGTGAAAGGAGTGCTTAGAGGAAAATTTACAGCTTTAAATGCCTATGTATGAAAAGAAGAAAGGCCTCAAGTCAATAACCTAAGCTTTCATCTTAAGAAACTTGAAAAAGTAGAGTAAATTAAATCCAAAGCAAACGGAAAGTAGGAAGCAATAAACATGATGTCAGAAACCAATGAAATGGAAAATAGAAAAATAATAGAGAATAATCAATAAAACCAAGTCTAGCTCTTTGAAAAAAATATCAATAGAATTGGAAAAACTTCTAGGAAGATTGATCAGGGGGAAAAAAAGACACAAATTACCAGTGCTGACACAAGAGAAAGATGAGAAAACTTGAACATCCCTATATCAATGAAATGAATTACTAATTAAAAACCTTCCCTCAAAAGAAAACTGCAGGTCCAAATGGTTTCACTGTTGAATTCTGTCAAATATTTAAGGAAGATATAATATCAGTCCTTCACAAACTATCTCAGAAAATAATGGAGGAGGCAACACTTCACAACTCATTTTATAAGGCCATGATCGCACTTGTTCCAAAAACCAGACAGAACTATCATGAGAAAAGGGAACTATAGCCTAATATCACTGTGGACATAAATGCAGATTTCCTAACAAAATATTAACAAATTGAATCCAAGAGTATAAAAAAAAGAATAATACATCATGACCAAATTGGGTTTCTCTCAGGAATTCAGTATTGCACTAAAATCTGAAAAATCAATCAACCAAATTCATCATAATAAAGGAGAAAATGATCATTTCAACGGATGCATTAAAAAGCATCTGACAAAATTCAATGTCCTTTCATAACAAAAACTCTTAGCAGACTGGAAATAGAAGGGAACTTATTCAACCTGATTTAAAGTATCTACAAAAAAACTACAGCTTACATAATACTCAAGAATAAAAGACTCATTGCTTTATCCCTAAGATTCAGAATAAGGCACGATGTCTTCTTTCACCATTTTTAATTAGCATTGTACTGAAAGTCTGATCTAGGCAGTAAGCAAGAAAAATAAAAGGGATACAGATTTGAAAGGAAGAAGTAAAACTGCTTATTGTCACGTAACATGATTGCATGTGTAGAAAATCCACAAAAATAAAAACTACTAGAATTAATAAATGAGGTTAGTAAGGCTGCAGAATACGAGCTCAGTATACAAAGATAAATTTTATTTCTAAATACTAGCCAGAACAATTAGAAAATGAACTTCTTTTTTAAAGCCTTCCAAAATAGTGTGAGAAGTACTTTGGAATAAATTCATTTAGAGATGTGCAAGACCTTTACACAGAAAATTATAAAACATTGCATTGGGAAATTAAAGCCCTAAATAAATGGAGAGCTATACCATGTTCATAGATTGGAAGACTTAATTTATTAAGATGACAGTTCTCCTGAAATCGATCTATAGATTAAATGCATTTCCTGATAGACTATTTGGGAAGAAACCGACAAGCTGATTTTAAAATTTACGTGGAAAAAAATGAACCCTTGACTGGATAGCCCATCAGTCAGAAAATAAAAACTTGATACAGGTTTGAGCTACAAACTATGCCTATCATTTTTTTTTTTTTATAAAAAGAAACATATGTCTGAGCTTGGAACAGTGAAAGGGCTTGGCTTAAAAAAACTTTTCTTGGAACTTCTGTTAGACCTCAGTAAAGATCCTGAGCATATCAAGTGAAGGGTTTACAATGGCTGAACAAAACCTTAACAAAATTGACAGGAAGCCTTTTTGGGGTCAGTTTATTTTATAAGCAGAATGCATACAAATAAAATTTAACTATACTTCTAAAGGATTTTAAGTGAATTTTTTAAAATAGTCCTTTTTTTCTTTTACATACCTCCAGATAAACGCTACTACAAACTTTAGGTGTAAAATATAAATTGCTTTTAGGGTTATTTTCACCTTGGGGTGAGGATAGGAGAGTGTGTGTATATGTGTGCACGTGCGCATGTGTGTTATTAGGGTATTTGGGGCTAGACTATATTTGGGTTGATTTTGTATTTTTTTAATGAAAATATTTGAATAACTTATTTTCTATTAATGGGAAAAGATCCCTGGGTGATGTAGACAGTTAAACACTCACTCGACTGCTAACCTTAAGGTTGGTGGTTTGAACTTGCCAAGTGGTGCCACAGAAGAATGACCTGTCGATCTCTTTCCTTCAAGATTATAGCCAAGAAAATTCTGTGGAGCAGTTCTACTCTAACACATGGAGTTGCCACAAGTCAGAACTGACTTGATGGCAACGGGTTTGGTTTGGTTTTGGTTTGTTAATGGGAAATTTTCCTCGTTTTCATAGGGAAGAATGGACAGAAGCTATCCAGGCTGTAGCAGACAGACTGCAGAGGCAAGAAGAGGAGAGAATGAATTGTAGTCCAACTTCACAAATTGATAATATAGGGGAGGAAGAGATGGATGCTTCTACAACACATCATAAAAGAAAGGTAGAAATTAATGATAAATTATTCCCCTACTCAGCACATTTATTTGTCTGGAAGAAATATGCTAAAGACTGCCATTTGCAAAAGGATGCTAGCCAGTCGTCTTACAATACACAAACCTGTGGATGCTTTTTATTCAGGTGAATCTGAAATATCTATTGTTTAAAACCAAATAATTGAGACATCACTTTATTTTGGTGATTCAGCACTTTTAGCACTGAATGCTAGTAGAGCTTTTTACTAGGGAGTTGTGACTGATGTGCGATCGTACTACCTTATAATGTGTGTTTTTATGCCATTTTAGAAACTTGGAAATCCAGTGTTTTCACTAATGATTTTGTCCTTTTTCATTTGGCATTCTGTGTTCTCCTGAAGGCAGAATCAGAAATGGCTCTAGTATACTGCTGTTGGTACCCCATCCTCACTAATGTCAGGAGGAAAGCGAGCAGCCTTGGAAATAATAGCTTTTTATTGTAGTGGCTGCACCTGAGCCAATGAGCAACGCGAACTTCTCTTCCCTCAGTGCTCCAGAAAAATAATGTGCCAATTTAGATTCTTATGAGAATTGCATATGGTGTTTTTCACAGTTATAGAAAACAGAAAAGCTGCTTTCTTATGTAAATAATGGTATTTTAAGATTAATTTAAAGATACAGGTATTGTAAAGAGATGAACATGCGTATTAGCATTTTAGAATATGTATACATTTATAATTATAAAGTTATTCTACATCTATTTTTTTAATAGATTGTAAATTAATTTTCATGTAGGAAAACCTTTTTAAAGTATTATCCATGATTTGTTATCAGCACAGTGATTAAAACCTCTTTGGAATTAGACTGCTTGAGTTCAAATCCTTCCTCTTCCACATGCTAACTGTGTGAACTTAAAGTTATACAGTCACAGCTTAGAGACAGTTAATTATTCTTTCCTTATGTGAAATTTCTGTTTGAATTAGAATAATATTTTGTGCTTGATCTTAGCCAAATATCTGAGAACCCTTTGTTAGTTAAACTGAATTCCTGTATTCTTTTGAGTCAACTTAACCAGCTGCCCCTCGCCCATTCCTCAGTCCTTGCAAAAAGAAAAACATGACCTAGCTTTACTATTTACTCAGCTGTAAGAAAGCTGCTTTTGTATTTGTCTGTATACACGTGCATAATTACTTGAAATTTGACTGTCCATAATTTTAAAATGAAGTCCCAATTAATCTTGTCCTTTGAACTATAAACTACTCCATTCAAAAAAAAAGCTATACCCTATTTAATTCTGTGGAATTTCTAAAATTCTGCTTAACAACAGAGCTTAATAATCTGCTGCCAAGGCAGTTATAGGTTGGAAATGGAGTTTATGATACCCTCACTAGAAACGCTGTGATGGATGAAAGAATTCTGGAAATCTACCAGAAGAATTTTGAATGGAGACAAACATTTTGAAAGATGTAAAATTGGAAAGGTATAGATGTTTTTTCTGCTAAAGCTGGTTTTATATGATTATAAAGGCATAATAAATTTTCACCTTTACCAGTGTGGACCATCTTAGAATTCATCCCCATCACTAATTATCAGGTGTAAAGCATTTATTGTATGCTTATTTTGTGCTAGGCTCTGAGCAGTGCTTTTTTATGTATTATCTCATTAAATCTTCATAAGAATCCTCTGAGGTAGGTAGGTAATGTTACTACATTTACAGTTAAGTCATCTGAGACTCAGCAAGTTACATATCTTGCTCAAGCATGTAAATTCTCTTAATTATTATACTCTACAGCTTCAACGTGCCACATTTCTTTTTCTTGGTTCATATATGCTGGTCCTGTAATCTCTGTAATTTTTATACTCATAACGGATTTATATGAGAAAAAATTATGCAAATATTTTCTCTTATGCTTGTACTCTGTCACTCAAATATTATGAAAACTTGTTGCGCTTACATATTGCTTAGATATTAGTTAATTTCATTTTATACTGCTGTTTCCAAACACCAGTAAATGTCAGTATTACACAATAGTGGTGGTAGTAAGTGAGGCCTTCAAAGTCCTGTTGCAAGTCCTGGCTTCAGCAGTCTTTCTGTCCTTTAGTTCCCTCATCTATGAAGATGGGATAATAATAGTACTTAACTCATAGAATTGTGAGGATTAAAGTCAGAAGATACATGTAAGGTGCTTATATAGTAAGTGGTCAGTACATGTTAAATATTATTGTTAGCTGGTATTCTGCTATGTCCATATAAAGATAAACATTTTTCTAAAGCTGGTTCTCTTATAATTCTCTCACTAAAATAAAAAGTGACAGGAGAATCAGAAGTATTTGAGTTTATTTGGAGTCCACTGTCTTATTTGGCCCATATCTGATTTCCATTATTTTTCTTGATTTTATTTAGGTTTTTTTTTTTTTATTAATTTAGTTTTAAATGACAGAGTGCAGAAAAAGAAAGTTTACATCATCAGTTATTCTATAATGGTCCTAATGGCTTAGTTAAAAATGATAAAATATTACTGTCACTTCTCTAAGATAAATCACTCTAGAACTATCCTTTATGCTTATCAGTTATGATGAAAAGAATTACAGAAGTTCAGATTATTTTTGTTTAATTTCTGACTTAAACAGAAATATTCTGAAATAAAATAATAGCCTTCCCCTCATAATTTATAAGATATGTACTTCTTGAAAAATGGGCAGTAAGATGAAGAAGATAACTACTGATTATGGTCGCTATTTAGACTGGTCTTGACTGCTGTCTCTTGACTGCCTGGAACAGACAGATGGTTACTTCTCTTATGTTAGAGTATTGCCATAGTATTTGCTCGGCTGGTTAAAAACTCTCTTGGAGGGGGAAGGATATTGGCTGGTAGAGAAAGAGCCAACAGCTTCACAACCACGTTTAAGTGCAGTTCACTGTTTGAATTAAAAGACAGAGTTTTGAAGGGATTTGATTAGAGGACTCAGAAGTGCCCAGTCTTGGTCTACTGAGCTCCCATTCTCCTATACCCTGTAAGGTGTGTGAAGAGGCACTGCATACAAGGATAAATGCCCAATGAGAATCAATGCTCTACTTAATTTTTAACTGACTAATGTAAGGTCTCTCTGGGAACAGCTGGTTTTAATCTCATGATTTAGGTTTAAAGTCGAAGCAGTGCCTCTGCCTTCCCATTAAGTCTGATTCCAGTTCTTGGGATTTTATCAACTAATGCTTGGCTACAGTAACATAAAGCAATGGCTAGTATGAGGGAAAAAAAGAAAAGAAAGACGAGATGGTAGGACCTGCTGAATCACATGCTCTCACACTGCTTGGATCTGCTTACTACAAAGAGGGAAGAGTGGCATAACCAATATTGTAGAAATTGACCCATTAGCTTAACCCCTCCTCCTTTGAGAAGGAACACCAAAGGAAGTAGACAGAGATGTGGGCAGAGGGTTGAGCTTCATGGAAGCCCTTCTCCCCTCAGTGCCCCACAGGGCCTTCTTTGGTTTAGCTGTTACGTTGTAAATGTAAGTATCTGGAATTTAATCTTCTTTTTTTTTTTTTTTCCAATCAAATATGCTGATACCTGTGTATTCTTTTCTGAGAGGTTCTTGGTATTCTTCATTAATTGTATATTTTTTTAACTTACATGTGTTGACTTTATAGTCTTTTTCCTTATATTCTAATGTGTGTGTGTGATTTGAATCCATCATAGAAAATTCTGTGGAGCATTTCTACTCTGCACACGTGTGGTCACCGTGAATTGGAATCGACTTTATGGCTACTAAGAACAATAACATTAAACAGTTATTATGAATGCATCTCTCTTTAAAATTTTATTGTGGTAAAATATATGTAACAAAAAATTATCATTTTAAGTGTATATTTC